TTGCTTGGTACCCAGTGACAACCTAACTGCAATGCAATAATATCCTCAGTAGTAAAATGGGGCTGACTGAGGCCCAGTTCCTGGCTCTCAGCACCTTCTGTGTGGTCAGATACTCAGCCAGTGTCAGCGGAATCTGAGTGATAGCAGGCAGGCGAAACGGGTCCCTAGTGGGTAAGCAGCAGTCCCTAAGGCCAGTAACTAAGAACAGTCACGCACTCTCCAGGTAGGTAATTCCAAGTAAGATTCTCTTTTTCAAAATGACAAGTGGGCTTTTAGGACAGTGACACTTGGCGGATGGTACTACCATAGTAGACACATGCATCTATGCCTTTGTCCAGACTCCCAGAATGCACCCCCAGAGTGAAGCCCATGCAAACCATGACTGGGGTGATGATGAAGTACTGCTGTAGGTCCATCGGTGTAGAAGGTTGGGGGGGAGGGGGGCCATGCGCCTGGAGTGGAGCACTGTACTTTCTGCTCAATTTTGCTGTGAACCTAACCTTCTCTAAAAAGTGAAGTTTATGAATTTTTAAAATGGCATAAAAGATACATTTAAGCAAAATTAAAGCCTATTATTTCCAAATAAGTTTTTTTAAAGTTTCTCAAAGCTGGAATTTCCTCCCTCCCTTTCTCTTCCCTGTATTGCTGGTGTCCCCCACTCACTAGGTTACCCACCCCACAGCCACCACTGAGCCACCAGCTAAGGGAGGGCTGGAGCCATCTGAGTTGCCCCTGGTGTTTGTTGTCTTGGGTCAATTTGCCTGGGTGGGGCAGGGGTGTTGAGGTTGGTGACCAAGGACCGCAAGAGTACTAGGCCGTCAAGAAAGTGCAGGCGAAGCTGGTGGCCCCTCAAAGAGACACGGAGAGGAGGAAGTGGCTAGAAAGGACTGGATCAGACGAGGTGAGGACAAAGGGGCCACATCACAGGTAAAACCTGAGTGAGACAGAGAGGCTTCCGACCCCTGAAGGAGAAGAGCCAGAGCCGGGGCGGGAGGCGGGGGCCGGGGCAGGGTGGGGGAGCTCTGCCGCGAGCGGGGGGCACCCAGGGCCCCAGGAGGACGCACGGGGAGCACGGGGGCGCTGGCAGGGCCCACCGGGATGCCCACGGGCGCCAGTCGGCGCGCGAGACCCGCCAGGAGGTGAACCGAGGGTGGCCCCCAGGTTGGGGGAGCTGGTGGCCGGGGAGGGTCACCGACGGGAAGGAGCGAGTACACCTGTTCAGAGTAGAGGGCAGGGTGACAGGACCTATCAGGTCGCAGCCGTAGCCGCTCATCCCCGCGTCACCGCCACGGGAACTGTTCCCAGAGCCCCTGCTCGGGGCGCGGTGAGGCCCAGGGCCACCCAAGAGGGGCTGCGCAGGGAACTGGGGGGGGGCAGCGGGACACCGCGCCGGCAGGTGCTGACGCGGAGGCGCCCCCAGGACTTACGGCCTGGTCCTACGGGGGGTGAGGGGGAGAAGCCCAAGGGAAGCCCAAGGCCGTCCTACGGGGGGGGGGGGGCGTGTGGGGCAGAAGGCAAAAGGACACGTTTAACTGTGTTTCTGCTCGCATTTGCATGAGAAGCGGGCGTCTGCGGAGGGAGGCACGTCCTGAGTGCGCGTGGGTCAAGGAGGAGCGCGGAGGCTTTGCGCCAAGGACCTTTCTAGACAAGTTTGATTTTTGAACCCCATGAACACGCTCACTGACTCAAGGACTTTAGAGTAAGAACAAATGGTCCGGAGAGTAAGCGCTGTGAGTGGGAGCGGGCGAATCCCCACTTATCTAGAAATTCCCTCCCGGTCCTGGCAGGGGGAGGCGGGGGAGATGGGGGGAGGCGGGGGGAGGCAGGGTAACAGCCGTATTTGCCTGTTGGGGGAACCTGGGTGACACTTCTGAGGCATGGTTCCCAGGGGTGTGCCTCTGAAACCCTCCCCGACCCCATCAAAGGTAAGCCAGGGGCGTGCAGGGCGCGGGGGTGCAGCTGGCTCTGGGGAGCGGGGTACAGAGGGTGCTCCCGGCTGAGGGACCGCGGGCTGGGCACACCCGGCACCCCGGCTCTGAGCACACAGCTGGGGGCTCCGCCCGCCTCTTCTAAGCATTGGCTTTGGAGGTCAGCGCCACCCCCGCCCATGGGGTCTGGCACTCTGCCGCCCTTCGTTTTAGAAGATAAGTCCCCTGGGGGCGGCCGCGGTCCACGGCTGCCCCTCCAGACCCCGAGGCTGTGGCTGCGCCCTCTTATGCAACCGACAGGACGCAAATGCATGACAGCCTGGCCTCGAGAATGCGGGGCGTTCAGAGCCAGACCAAGAGTATGTGTGTGGGGAGACGCCGGGCCTGCCAGCCTGCCAGGCCCAGGGAGCCGGCGACAGGGGGCGACCACTGACCTCCCCCGCAGTCGGCCTTCCTCATTCCAGGGCCTACACACACCAGACCAGCGCGTCTCCAGCTGAGCAAAAAGTGGGAACGTGGGACAGTGCCACATGCGAGGGATGTCAGGAAACCCAAACACAGCACAACACTGATGTATTTAATTTGGCTTACGAAATGCAGTTTCTGTGGAATTCTGTTAGTGTTTAAAAAGAGAGAGAGAGAGAGAGAAGAAAGAAAGAAAGAAAGAAAGAAAGAAAGAAAGAAAGAAAGAAAAGAAAGAGAGAGAGAGAAAGAAAGAAAGAAGAAAGAAAGAAAGAAAGAAGAAAGAAAGAAAGAAAGAAAGAAAGAAAGAAAGAAAGAAAGAAAGAAAGAAAGAAAGAAAGAAAGACCCACTTGATCAGCAATCAGGAGAACTCGAGTCCCCGAGCCGCCGCAGCCCACAGCACACGCCGCGGTTCCTCCCCCGCACCAGGTGGTAGTACCTGCCGGACCACCGCCGGGGCTCAGCCAGGACACAGCCGCCCGGGGAAGCGGGACTCTGGAGGCACCTACACGGTTGCGTCCTCCTCACCCGAGGGGACCGTGGGTGAGCGTGATCCGGTGCCCCGGGTGGCACAGGTCGGCGGGGTCGGCGCCCTGCTCCCAGTCCGGTTGTCTCAGGAACAACTTTCGACAGCCGTCAGCCCAGCACTTTGGACCGTGTTGACCTCCCTCCCCCCGAGGGCGGCAGGTGACACAGGGCACCCTACCTCCCTGACTCCCGGGGTGGGGCGGTTTGGACATGTGAACCGAGCCAGCCGGAGACAATGAGCTTCCCCTCCCGGGCCAATGTCCCAGCCCAGGGGCGAGACCCCCCTTTCCTGGACAGGTTGTAGCCCTCAGGCTTCTAGAAGCCATCTCAGCGCCTCCAGGGGCAAACCTGCCTGAGAAGGAGGCCAACAGGGGGAAAGTAGAGCCTGGAGAAGGACAGGCGCTCGGGCCCGGTTTGGGCTCAGCCGCCCCTGCAGCCGCCCCACCGCCGCCCGGGTTAGTGGCTCAGAAGGCGCCCCCTCCTCCCTGCGGCGGAGCTGCATATGGGGCGCCTGCAGCTCCAAGGGCGGAGCCGGATGCCAACTCCTGATACGAATGGTTGAGTCTCCACAGAAACGGAGCACAGTGCCCACATGCGAGGCTACACGAACTAAAGACAGAGGGGTTCAAGGCGCCCTGTACGGGTCCCAGCTGCACACACTTCACAGTGGGGCCTCGTCCACAGGTCGTGACCGCACTGAGACAAGAATTGCTAAAACACTGAAATATTCCATTTTATTGTACTCTTTCCCCGTGAGGCCCAAGGAGAAGCAAATGCGTGGAACTGAGCAATGATACGGACGCGCGGATCGAGCAGCTTTGGAGGTTCACGGAGTCAGCAGAGTGGCGCGACCGAGGGACTGGGGCGTCTTCAGCCTGTCAAGCCAGGGGCACCGCCGTGTGGAGCCCGTCGAATGATTCCAGGCTGGAGAGACCTGTCGCCAAGCGTGCAATGTCCACGGTGCACAAAGCACAACAGTGAGAGCGATGAGGTCACACACACTACACATCGTCGCCACCCGCGGAGCCAGTGTGAACCTCCGGCCGCAGTCCTGCAGCGCCCCTCGCCCCTCCTTCCTCCGCTCACGCAGGCGTCCATGCATTCAGCACCCATGTGCACCCGGAGGCACCCCGGTGAACGCCGGGGTACGAAGGTGACAATTACGACCCATACTGCACCCTCAAGGAGCCCCCGGGCCCTGTCGCAGCGGTGCGGGAAAGAAGTACGATGGGGCCTGCCGTGAAGTGCAGCTACGGAGGGTCCGTGTGACAGGAGACGGAGTGTGCAGTCACCCTCCCGTGGTCCCATGGCGGCTACGTGCCATCCCGCATCTTCGCAGTAAGGAGGCTACTGGTTCGCTGTCATCGCCAGTGTGGCTGGGGCCGCAGGCTGAGCGTGCTACGGGCTTCCCGCGCCGAGGCCGCGGGGCACGCGGTCGGTCCGACGGCGCTCGGGCTGCTGACTGCTTCGTCCCCGACAGCGCGACCGCCGGCGGCGTCCGCTTCCCCTGCCCCTGGCGCCGGTCCTCAGGGGCCGGGGGCGGATTCGGGCTCTGCGGGGTCTTCGAAGGAAGGCCTTCCCTCCCGCCTGCACACTCCAGGCCCCTCGGGGCTCTGGAAGGCCTCCTTCCTGCGTCCCTGCACGGTGGGCGGCAAGCACAGGCGGCCGACGGAGGAGCCGCGAACGGCCGTGGGCACCGCCTCCTCCCCGCCTCGGGCCGCGCTCCGGTCCGCAGCTTCAGTGGCGTGGCCCGAGTTCAGACGTGAGTGTGCTCCCGCACTCAGACCCGGCGCGATCACCGAATGCCGCCACGGCAAGCGGTGGCGTCACACACGGCCTTTCTAACGCTCCCGCAGAGTGGCTTTCGAGGAGGTTGGGGCAGCCAGAGGCCTCCGCCCACACCCCGCCTTCCACAGGGGGTCCCTGGGATGCTTCCCTCCTTGCCCACCCGGCCACGACGACACGCAGCCCCCAGTGGGGTTTCCCTTGTCAGGGGCGTCCCTTCGCCTCATTGCTGTTACAGGCTTCTGGAATCTGGCCAGCCGAAGCCACCCACCCCCCCACCCCCCCACCCCCCGGACCTGGCCCACTGCGGAGGGGCCCCTGGTAGCCGGGGCAACAGTTGCGGCTCCTTAGCAGGGAGGCCCGCGGGCCCGAGTCTAGAACCTGAGGTCTTCTGGTTCGCTTAGAGCCGGTGTGTACAGAGAACCGGAGACAAAGGCATTTCGGTAGAAGCACCGTGCTGAGTCCGCTTAAAAATCAGAGTATCCTTGTTAGTGTTGATTTGTGAACTAAATCTTTACAATCATTAAAAATCAAGCTTCATAAATGTTCTCATGGTATAAAATGAGATGGTCCATTTTCTAAAAATAAAATGTAAAAAACAGATATGCCCTGATTTGACTTGTTAGTGAACCCCTCAGTGTATTCCCGTGAATCACTCACACACAAAGAAAACACAAGACAGAATCTGTGCAAAAATAAGAGCTCTCCGTTTTCTGTAACACCTTATCTCTTCTGTAATGAATTTGTTAAAGGTAAAAAAAGTGTCTACTTAGAAAATTATAAAAACATTGCTACAATGTCATAAATGCATTCTCTAGGAAAACATACCTTTGGAAATAGTACAACTATTGGGAATCCTTAAAGAAATTCAAGTCCTGGATGTACCTCAGGTACATTCCACTCAGGCGACATTAACACCCTGTCTGTCCTCCCTACCACTTCCAGAAATTGTCTGCGACGCTCACTGACTGACATAGGATTCTTCTTTCTTCAAATGTCGTCATTGATCTCTGTGGATATCCTGAGGGTGACACCCTGTTAAAGACAGAAGAAAAAGGTTTCAGAGGAGGTGAAGTGGTGCCAGCCAAGGAACGTCCACCGGCAGTGCACCCGCCCTCCACAGATGACCTCACGGTGGGTTCTGCACAAAGTTGGGTCTTAGAGAATTTTCTTGGCTTCTTATCTCCTTTTAACTAAGAATTCACTTGTTTCAAAATGGAAGGTTTTTCTCTGTTGTCAAACTCTCTGCCTTGGGGAAGGTTTTTCGACAACGGACTTTTGTTTGATAAAAGGACATATTTCCTATTTTGTGGAACTAGTCAGCAGGGCCTCCTCAGAAAGCTAATAACCAGGGTGTGGGACTATGAGCATCCCATAGCAGAGGATGATTGAAGATTTCGCTGTTTGGGAGAGCTGGGGAAGATGTTTCCCTTATGGGGGGTGCCTGGGGGGCTCCGCGAGTGAGCATCTGCCTTTGGCTCAGGCTGTGACCCCGGGGGGCCTGGGGCCAAGTCCCACATCTGGCTGCCCACAGGGAGCCTGCTTCTCCCTCTGCCTGTGTCTCTGCCTCTCTCGGTGTCTCTCATGAATAAATAAAATCTTTTTTAAAAGATGCTTCCCTTGTGGAATAAACTGAACTGTAATATTTACGTATTTTTTCCCAAACATAAGAGTAAAAGGAAAGATAGTGCTCTTACTTTTCTTAAGTGACAGAAATGTTCTCTGGAGTTCTCCTAACCCTAATTGTCAGCGGTTCATGACCGTTGAATCGGTAAACACCTACCTGGAAATCGTGGATGAATGTTAGGAAGTAGAATATAAAACCAAAGGCCACTGTCCACTCACAGATCGCACTCACCACATGATACACATAATCCTACAAGCAATAATAAGACACAGGATTTAGCCTAAATCCATCCACTGCAGGGTAGGGACCCAAATCAAGGGCTGGTCAGAGCGGAGAGAAAGTGGTGGCTGAGGCCTTGGGAAAGCGCAGTGAGCAAGGCCGGGGGCTGACCACCAGGGCACCTGCCCAGTGGAAGCACGAAGGCCCCTGGCCCCGGGGTTGCGCAGGCCCCCGCCGGCACCGGGCTGCAGACCCGCTCTACACACTCCAGGAAGGCAGAAGAGGAGCCGCTAAGCGGCTGAGGCGGGGAAGCCAATTCGGACTCCAGAGAAGAAAGAACCTTCGCTCAAGGCGTGACTAAGCATCCCAGAGCTGAGGTGCACACCTGGAAAACGTCTCCTGGGCATCCAGGCCTCATTAACTAGACGCAGTGCTGGGCGGGGGCGGGGGGGCCTTCTCCGCAGCCCCGGGGTAAGGTGGCGAGCGCCGCTCTGCTGCCCTGGGACCCAGACGCAGCGTAGAGCGAAAGCCAGGGGCGCAGGGACACGGTCAGGGTCCCCTGGGCGCGGGGGTGACACGGGAGGCCACGCGGGCAGGGTCCCTCCTGCGGAGGCGGGAGCCTTCGTATCAACAACGGAAGTGACCGGGAACCCAGGCCTCAGCCGCTCAATCCCACTTTCACCAAACGGGTCGCTGTAAAAGAGTAAGAAGAAAGCCTGCGTGTGCGTGTGCGTGTGCGTGTGCGAGACGCGATCTCTCCTGATTTTTACACGCGGTCAATTACTTTAAAAGCATCTTTAAACACCATCTGAAGGGCCCTCGGGGGCGTAGGCGGGATGTCTGGACACGTCTAGATCCCAGCTCACGTCCTAGTCCCGGGTAGGAGCGTACACCCCGTGCTGGGCTCCGCACTGGGTGTGGAACCGACTTAAATGTTATGAAATAAACAATGTCTGAGTCAGAAGGACGCGTCTGCATCGTGCCTGGAGCCCACGGGCCAGGCCAGGCCAGGCCGGCGGCGGCTTCCACCCGCCTTTGGTCCCAGGGCGGCCTGTCCCGCTCCCCTCGCTCGGCCACAGGTTCCCGGGGAACCAACACACGCGGGGCTGCGGGTTCTGCGGTGGCGTCAGGTCCTCTGATGCAGTTTCCAGCAGCGGAGATTTCGGGGAGCTGCAGGCGCCCGAACGCCGCGGACCCCACTTTGCTCCCGCTTGCTCGCCACCCACCCCGTGCGCCCTCGTGCAGCCTGCGGACGGCGTCAGGGCCTCCGTGCGCGTCCACCGCCACCAGGAACGGAGGCGGGCACCGGAGCCGCGCGGGCCGAGCGCAGGCTGAGGAACCTCTCGGTAAGCACAAAAGGGCCTGGAAACCGCGGGGTGCTGGGCCGCGCGGCGGAGGGCAGCCCCCAGCACCGCCCCGGGGCTGATTCGCGGTGCAAGGGCTCCCCCCGGCGGCGCCACCGCACGGCGCAGCTGCAGCCGCCGGCCGGGGCTCCTTCCCCGACGACTCTCCTCCAAGAGTTGGGTCTGGCCCCTGTGTCCCCAGCCCCTCCAGCCTCCCGCGGGCTCCTGCAGGCCCTGCACCCGCGGACCCTCCGCCTGGGACGGCAATGGTCCCGCTGCGCTCTCGGCACCCGCGCATGGCTCTTCCCCCCCCCCCCCCCCCCCCCCCCCCCCCGGCACGGTTCTCGGGAGCTGCGGGCCCCACCATTCGCTGGATTCTCCGCCTGCCTGCAGGTGGCTGCAAACGCCAGCCTTTTACCCAAACTGCTTTTTGAAAAACATCCTTAAAAAAGAAAAAAAGAAAAAGAAAAATATCCTTAACTCCCCTGTCACTTGAAACACAAGCTGCTGCTCTCACACTAAGTCTGCTGGAGCATCTCGAGCAGGTGTGCCTGGAGCACCTCTGAATGAGTCCCTGAGCACCTCTGAATGAGTCCCTGAGCACCTCTGCAGGAATCCCTGGAACACCTCTGAATGAGTCCCCAAGCACCTCTGAATGAGTCCCCAAGCACCTCTGAATGAGTCCCCGAGCACAATTCCAAACATTTGATCCAGGTGTTCTAAGGTTTGACTAGAAGTCCCGGTCAATCCACCCTAGGCCTGGTGGCTCCCAGTGCCCTGAACAAGGGTCTAGTGCCACGACAGACATTTCTCCTTGTCACTCCCGCCTCATATTCAACAATCCTACCACCAGATCCCCCCACCGGCCCTCATCGGGACCCTGCTTCTGTTCATGGGGCACAGTCTCTGCTTCCCCAACAGGACACTTGGAATTTCTCTTTGGTGCATGTCCTTCTGTTGTCGTGTTTGTCGCTTGCCAGTGCCCATTAAACATTTCCCCTTCTTATATCCACCTGAGGCTATCTTATTTTTTTTAAGGTTTAAATTTTAATTTCTGTATAGTTCACACACAGGCATATGCATTTCAGGAGTAGAATGTAGTAGTTCAGCACTTCCTTGTATGACTCCACGCTCCTCCCGGTTAAGGGCCCTCTTAATCCCCTCTCTTCTGTTTCACCCCGCCCCCACTTTGAGAGCCAGCATTTTGTTCTCTGTAGTTGAGTCTGTTTCTTGGTTTGTCTCTCTCTCTTTTCCCCCTTGTCCATTTGTTTTATTAAATTCCACATAGGAGTGAAATCAAGTTTTTTTGTCTTCCTCTGACTTATGTGGCTTATCTCTAGCTCCAACCATGTTGCTGCAAATGGTTGGATGTCATCGTCTTTACGGCCGAGCAGCATCACACTGTGTATACACACCGCAGCTTTCCCTGCTCACCTATGCAGGGGTCTGTGCTCCACTCCCTTGCCATGGCTCCTGGAAACCACGCTGCTCTACATGTACAGTTGCATGTAGCTCTTTGAATTAGTGCTTTTGTATTTTTTGACTACTCAGGCCTGTGATTACTGAATCATATGACAGCTCTAGTTTTGACTCTTTGAGGAACCTCCGTACTGGTTTCCAGTGACTGCACCAGTTTGCCTTTCTACCAACAGAGCACGAAGGTTCCATTCTCTTCACATCCTCACCGACACTTGTTGTTCCTTGTGTTGTTGTTTTAGCCACTGTGGTTGGGGGTGAGGTGGGAGCTCATGGTGCTTGGGATGTGATCTCCCTGATGACGAACACGCTGAACTCCCCAGGTGCATCCAGACTTGAGATCTAAACCTGAGAACTGCCTTCTCTGGCCACCCTAACCCCAGGCTCCGTCCTCACCCATTCATCCAGGGGTTACTTCTAATATTCTTCCAATGTACTTGCCTTTGAAGGAAGGCTCTGTTCAAAGCTTATTCAGGCCCCCTGAATAGGAGGCTCTCTGCCTCCCCCTCACAGCTCCGCATGCACTCCTCGCCCACGCATGTTGCCCTGACTGCACTGATGCTCCAGTTCATCCTGAAACAAACTGCCCTCCATGCTGGAGCTCACCCCATCCTCTGATTCACAACCCCTGCTCTGACCTCCATACCCCTAACCCACATCGCCCCACCACCCATCAGTCTGTCCTATTGATTAGGAAATTCCATTAGGAATTTAAAATTTTGCAAATAATTTTGAGAATAATCTCCAGGAACCGGGTTCGACAATCATACTGAAGACAGGTTAAATGTTACCTTTTCTTTCGGATTCCACTCCAGCTTGGTTATAGAAATCAGTGAAGCACAGGCGATCACTAAGAAACGGAAATTGTTAAGGAAGCTCAAAAAAAAAAAAAAAAACACCCTAGGTCTTTTAATGTTAAGACTATTCTAATTATCATCACACAGTGTTAAAATGTTAATACCAGCATTTCTGCAATCAGATCGGCTATATTAGCTTCTTTAACCTCAAACCTTCAGCTCGATTGTGATAGGATTTCAGTTATAGCACAGACATACAGCCACTCCTCAGGAACATCTTTTCAGTCAGGTATAAAATTTTAATCTGTGGCTACATTTTGCTCCATTCTGCTTTTTAAATTTGGTCAAATGACTGACACAGCCATCTAGATGGCTTTTGAGTACTTTCCCCCTAAAATACGATTTTCCCTAAATTAAGGTATTGAATAAAAATACTCTTCCCCTATAATCCTAGTTTCAAGGCAACAGCTTTAAGGAAAACATAACATTTCAAAGTACCAAAGCATCACAAATAACCAAGATTCATCTACAAAAACCAGCTACAGTTATCTTTAAAAAAGAGACTTATTCTATCAAATCACGGGTTAAGGGATCCCTGGGTGGCGCAGCGGTTTGGCGCCTGCCTTTGGCCCAGGGCGCGATCCTGGAGACCCAGGATCGAATCCCACATCGGGCTCCCGGTGCATGGAGCCTGCTTCTCCCTCTGCCTGTGTCTCTGCTTCTCTCCCTCTCTCTGTGACTATCATAAAAAAAAAAAAAAAAAGTCACGGGGTAAGCAGAGCCCTTCCTTCCAGGCTCAAGAGTTTACAAATCAGAGCCATACATAGTATTGTGTATAATACTATTGGGGGTGCCCAGACAGGCCAAACAGTGCCTGGGACTGAGGCTAGAGCCTCCACGACCATCTGCACAAAGGCCGTGGCAGCCATTCCAATGGAGCTTATAAAGGCACAGGAAAAGCTGGGGATGAGCTGAGATGCTCTTAAAATGCTTTTGCAAACAGTTATGAATTCAAAGCTTTGAGTCAGTGTCAAGTTTAGAACTTCCTCTGAAAGCTAAGTCAGCGTCCTCCTCTCCCTGCCCTCCCTAAGCTCCCGTATTTTGCAATTCTTAACACTTCTCCATTTCTCAAAATGAAAGATTCTCTGATCCTGTCATTACCATATTTCTGTTTCTAAAGTTTAAAAGCCTCTGAATTCTTGAGCCTCATCTTCTGTGCATCAGGTACCACGCTGGCAGTGAGGAAGGGGGAGACAGAGAAAACTCTGGCAAAACAGACTTGGTGTCCGCTCTGAGAAACATCATGGCCTAGTGGGATGAAGCCCAGGGAAGGAGCTGCACTAAGACAGGAAAGAAGCTTAACTGGGCACGAGGAAGGGCACGAGGTGTGATGAGCACCGGGTGTTATGGGCAACTGAGGAGTCACTGGCCTCGGTCTCTAAAACCAGTGATGGACTCTGTGTTGGCTAACTGAATTTAAATTAAAAAAAAAAAAAAGGGCACAATGATGACTTGGAGGGAAAATTATGAATTCAGAGTGGAATGGGGTTTGAGGGGTCAGCAAAGGCTTCCTGAGTTAAGCTAATGTAAGCTGAGGCTTGAGGAGCCATCTGGAGCAGCGTCGCCCCAGAAAGCAATGCCAGCCACATGCGTAATTTAAAATATTCTCCTATAGGCAGACAGCTTCTGTTCTGCCATCCTACCCAACTCTCCCTTGGAGTGTATTCAACGAATTTCTACCTCCTTACAAAAAAAAAAAAAAAAAAAAAAAACACCCAAAAAAAACCAAATGAGGGGCACCTGGCTGGCTCAGTCAGTAGAGCACGTGACTCCTGATGTCCAGGTTGTGAGATGGGTGGAGAGAGGACTTAAAATCTTGGGGGATCCCTAGGTGGCTCAGCGGTTTGGCGCCTGACTTTGGCTGGGGGGCGTGATCCTGGAGTTCTGGGATCCAGCTCCATATCAGGCTCCCTGCTTAGAGCCTGCTTCTACCTCTGCCTGTGTCTCTGCCTCTCTCTCTCTCTCCGTGTGTGTCTCTCATGAATAAATAAATAAGTTAAATTAATAAAATTAAATCAAATCTCAAAGATAAATAAATCCAAATGAAATTAATTTTAATAACATATCTTATCTAACCCAGCATATCAAAAATATTATCATTTCAACATATACTAATATAAAGAATGAATAATTAGATATTTAACATTCGCTTTCTCTTTCTTCTTAAATCTTTGAGATCAGTGTGGTTTTTAGACTTAACTGCATATCTCCACGTGGACCAGCCATGTTTCGCATGCTCAGCAGCCTCGTGGGGGCTAGTGGCTACCAGAGGGGGCCGCTTGGCTTTGGAGAAGGCAGTGGAGGAGGATAATCCAGGCAGGGAGAGGACAGTGGATAGAGGCAGAGGGCAGGCAAGGGGAGTCCTGGGCAAACTGTGTAACGTGGGGTCAACCACAGGCAGTTTCATGGGGCACCTGGATGGTCAGTCGGATCAGGGTCCCGTTCCTGGATTCAGCTCAGGTCATGACCTCAGGGTGGTAGGATCAAGTCCCACATGGGGCTCCGTGCACAGCGTGGAGTCTGCCTGAGATTCTCTCTCTCTCAAATAAGTAAATAATAATAATTATAATAATAATATTATAATAATAATAATATAATAATAATAATAAATATTTTAAAAAACCTAAAAAGATAGGCAGTCTCAGACTATGTGTCTCAGGCACAAGGACCTGGGTTTTACGCTGTCAGTGATGTTGAAGGGTCAGAAGCCGGTTGTGGGACGGGTGGTCCTGCAGGGAGGCCTCAGGGATGCTAGCAACTGCCTCCCTCTGTGCTTCAGTTTCTTCCTTAGTGAAGTGAGGATGATGTTCCATGGACATGTTGCAGTTAGAAGAGACAAGCGCATTTTAAAGATGTCTCAAAATCTTTGTAAAGAAATATAAATGCCATGCTAAGGTGTCAGCCAAAACACCTTTCCATTCGGATGATCTCGTTCTCGTCAATCTAGCACAGGGACGTGCCCGTTTCTGTTTGGGGTGCTGTCCCTCAGCATTGATCCCAAGAACTGCCAAAAAACGGGACCTGTTTGTATGTGAAACTCTAGGGCCTGAAATGCTTATCCTTGCTAAAATTCTCTCCAATTTTAACATATAGAGATGTTGTCTCTCAAGCTGGAAGCAAGGAAAGGTTTCCTACACCAAACTTTGGCTTAACACCACAAATGCTCCTACTATGAATTTTGCAACTAACACAAGCTAAAGGTTTCAAGTAGGTATTTTTGAGAGAAACATGAGTGTCTTCAATACATGAATAGGACAAGGAAATTGCGAAGGAATTATCTCTATACTGAGAGTATGCATTTTGCTTAAATTTCTCAACACTAGTATTTGCTTCCTCTGAGCTTGGAAATTTTGTAACTAAAAATTTCCCTCCCTAAGATGAAAAAAAACAAAACCCAAAGCCTTAGATTTCACATTTTGTGCAGCTTCTGTTTCAAACGAGAAAGGTAAAACTTGGTATTTAGAAGCACATGGTGCATTTTCAGTCAAGCTCGCCCGCGTTATGCCCCAACTCCATCCAGACCATCAAAGTTTCTGCTAATAAAAGAGTTGCTATTTTCCTACCGTCTGACAGAAATCACCATCTTTTGATGGCTCTGCAGTTTTTCTCTGATAAAACTGCACATGGTATTTCAAAAGATGTGGAACCTTCCAGCTTTTAAAGACACAGCTTTTTTTTCCTGTTAAATACGTCTAGAAAGAAGAGACAGAAAGGTCAAGCTCTCATTTCCTTTAACCCAGAATGCACAAGCCTAAAAATTCCTATTTTCTTTTCACGCTGTTGAATTAGAAAGTAGGGTGAGATTTCATCCTGAAACTAGAATCAGTGATAACGAGAGAAGGCTGTCTTTCAACTGACTTAGAAGCAAATGAAGGAGAGGGCTTTTTCAAACCACTTAATTTGGATGAGTAAATGGCACCATCTACTACTGAACCACCGACTGCAGGGCGAGGGCAGAGGACGGGCCTGGGCCCTCACACAGCTGTTATCTTAAGTGCAGTATCAATATTTGGGGTTTTTGACCAAGCACTACAAAGAAAAATAAATATTTTCACATGGCTTATGAAATGTTCCCTGTTGGAAGGAAAGTAAACAGCCTAAAGTGTTCCGACAGGTTTCTATTCTCTTTGCACACATTCCCAATTCTTTTTTTTTTTTTTCACATTCCCAATTCTGACCTAACCAGACAATGTCGGGATATGTTCTTTACGGTTTTCTTAACAATTTCTCCCAATTGTTCTCCCAAAACCTGTGAAAACCGGGCTGTTAAGCTTTGCTGTTTTTCCATGCTCTTGGGTGGTGGTTGGGGGGGGGGACAGCTGGGGGACAGAGGGTCGGGCCCATGGAGACACTGACAAGTGTGCAAAGGATACTGGGGATGACGGCCGCACAGGACACAGTGGAGATGGCCATCCGCACATGGCATGTGGACATGCTGTTCCACTGGGGACACGATTTGTAAGAGATGATGGACTGCAGGAGCGTGTAGCCCACACCACAGACAAAGGCCAGGAGGGCGCCGCCGTCGTGCACCACCGGGACAGCCAGCTCCTGGAGAGAGAGTCACAACAGCCATCACTCTGCAGCGGCGCCCACGCCAGGCTCCCGGAGACCACTGGCCCCACTGGAGCACCTGCCGAGGCCTGGAGGGCGTGGGCCCCCAATAGCGCGGGGGCACGGCCTCCCAGGCCCTCACGTCATGCCCTGGGTACACCCCAACCCCCACCCCCACCACCGCCAATGTGGGCACCCTGACCCAGACCCGGCTGTGGGCACCACCCCCCACAGGAGGGCAGGGTCACAGGTCCTGCAGTCTGGCAGATCTGGGTAAAAGTCCCCACCCTGCATTTCCCCATCCCTGAAATGGGCACCCTAACCCCTGCCGTGCAGGCCTGCAGGGAGGTGTCCCGGGAATTCCTTTTAAAATTATACAACCAGTTGCATGAAGGTGCCAAGCGTGGCCGGGGCTTTTCAGGCTCCCCTCCCCGGTGACCTCATGCTCCTTCCCCTGGCTCCCCACGCACAAGCCTCAGCAACAGTCGCCAGGCAAAGGCCGATTCCCATGGAGGCTCCTTCCCCCACCCTTCAACCAGCTGTTGCACCGGAGGGCACCCCCACGACCAGTCCACACAGAGACCTGGGCTTGGGCCACGGAAATGCTCACGATGGACCCTTCACAGAGCTTGCTTTTGGCTCCTTTCAAATATGCAGGGGGCACTGACCTTCAGATGTAACAGTGACGTCGGACTGAACTGTGGGGTCTCTGCTTGAATTTGAAAATGTGAGCTTTGCAAAGGCACAAGTAAAAGTATTGTCCACACAGGAAAGGAAGATTTTAAAAAATGACTTTCAAACTTATTTTCTAAGGAAATTTTACTTCCTGGCATCAAACCTAGTAATATAGGGGAAACCCCACTCTCTGATTTATGTCACAATAAAACATGGCTGCTTAACATTCTGACACATGGCCTATTAGGCACTCACGTATTAGGTATAGACCCTGTATTCCTAGGTTACCCAACACAGGAATATAGAGTTGGGAAAATCATATATGAAAAATAAAATACATTCTATGTCTTTAAAATATTTATATACCTTTAAGTAAAGAATTTTTTTAAAAAACCAACTGAACTGTACACTTAAAAATGGTGAAGATGGTCAATTTTCAAAACATTTTATTTATTTGAGAGAGAGAGAGAGAGAGAGAGAGAGAGCATGAACATGGGGAGGGGCAGAGGAAGGGGGAGAAGCAGGCAACGAGCGCCCCACACAGGGCTCCATCCCAGGACCCTGAGATCACAACCCAAGCGGTAGGCAGACGTTTAACCTACTGAGCCACCCTGGGGCCTCTAAAGTGGCCAATTCTATGTTATTTGTATTTTGCTACAATGACAAATAGCAATAATTCAGAGGAAATGCAATCAGTCTCTCAAAAAATAACCACACCCCCACGTTCACTGCAGCATTATTTGCAACAGGCAAGACAAAGAAGCAACCTCAGCATCCATCAAAGGATGAATGGATAATGAAAACACCACACACACACACACAATTATTCATCCATGGAAAAGAAAGGAATTTTGCCACGGTGACAACGTGGATGGACACAAGGGCATCATGCTAAGTGAAATGAGTCAGACAAAGACAAATCCTGTGTGATCTCACTTATGTGTGTAATCTTAAAAAAAATTAAATCTGAACTTATCAATACAGAAAACAGATCAATGGTTGCCAGAGGTGAGGGGTGGGGGTGGAGATGGAGGATGGAGGAGGGGGGATCAGAAGATAGCAGCTTCCAGATATAAGGCCCAAGGATGTAATGTACAGCCTGGTGACCATAGTTATTAATGCTGTATTATTATATGTTCAAAAATTGGTAAGAGAGTCAATCTTAAGAGAAAAAAAATTGTAACTATGTGAGGTGATGTCTGTTGATGAATTTATTATGATCCTTTTGCAATATGCACATGTATCAAATCACCATGCTACACACCTTACACTAATACCAGGCTATGTGTCAATGAAAACTCAGTAAAACTGAGGGGAAAAAAACCAGTATTAAACCAAAAACAATATTCAACCAAATATAAAACCAATACTAAACTGATAAAATAAAAGAATGAAGAGAAACAGATATTTTTTCCCCTTGGAATGTCAGGCACATTCAGACAAAGGAAAGTAAGCAACAGGCTGGACTTGCACTGCTAATGAGTCATTTTCAGGAATAACAGTCTGAGAGCCCCGAGTCCTTCCATGCTCAATTTTTTTTTTTTTTTTACGTGAAGTAAATCAACATCCTGGATTTACAGATTTACAGACTGTTTCCTCCAATGGCTATCAGGGAATTTGCCTCCTCACCCCCGCCTCACTCCCAATTCAACCCATCCTTTGGGACCCACCTCTGCACACTGGGTGCCCCCCCACCCCAAATTGACCCGGACCCAACCAGACCCAAAGGGCCAGGAGTCAGCAGGAGCAGGACTGGGGTGTGCTTTCCCCTGTGACGTATACACTCTCCCATCAATGACGACTTTTAGAAGGGACAGGATTCTTAGTTCGGAGGTGAACTAGGGATAGGTGCTAAAATAAAAACCCAGCACCCTTCGGGATCTCTTTTTCGAAACTCTGTTGCTACTTTAAAAGGTGGTTAAAAAGAAGAAGAAGAAGAAGAAGAAGAAGAAGAAGAAGAAGAAGAAGAAGAAGAAGAAAAGAGAAAGAAAGAAAAAGAAAAAAGAAGAAAGAAAAGAAAGAAAAAGAAAGAAAGAAAGAAAGAAAGAAAGAAAGAAAGAAAGAAAGAAAGAAAGAGAAAGAAAGAGAGAGGGAGAAAGAAAGAAAGAAAGAAAGAAAGAAAGAAAGAAAGAAAGAAAGAAAGAAAGTTAGTTGAAAGGGTTCAAAACCTTGGCAACTTGACTCTCCCAAGAAGGAAATTTCTGGAAGGGAAGTCAAGCATGGAGAGAGGCTGGTGAGGACACGGAACAGCAGCCACGGCCCCCAAGCAGCTCAGGACGCAGCCCCTGGAACTCCTGCCCAGGCCACGTGGGAGGAGAAGCGCCGACAGGCCCAGGGCTCCGCGGCTCCCGCCCCCAGGTCCCCCGGGAGGAAAAGCTCAACTTGGTCTGTTCATAGCTTGTGGAGAAGGAAGTAGAGGCCATGGAACAAGGAAGTCGTAAGGGTTATTTACGGGAACAAGCACAAAGCAAATACTTTGCTTCCGGGGAAGTTTGATATTCTATTCCCGGTTTTTGTGAAGATGTCATGGCCTCGCGAAACCTTAGAGAACCACAAGTTTGGTTGTCGGCCGTGAGTTCTCTTTGTGAAACCGGCCCTTCTGCTTTGAAAGGCGACAGCTGTCGTGCTTCCCCCGCAAGTTATTTGGAGAAGAAAGTGACAGGCCGTGGGACACGCCACCTGCGCCCGGAACAATTCAGGTCCGCCGTCCCCAGGCTCCCCCTTGCCCCACATCTCAACCCTTCTCCCCAGCACACGCTGCCGGGGCTGGACTGTGAACTCTGGCCAGACTTTCTCCCCACAGGGATCTCCCCACTTCTGGCTGGAAGGTAACCGGTTCGTACCGCTGCTGGCCAGTGGCTTCCATCCCCACTGCGGCTGCCCTGCCATGCTCGACCAATCCGGGACACAGAGTGTCCCCTGGCAACCAGGACCAGGACACCACCTGTCTCCTGAGGCTGTTATGGGGATGACAGAAGTTAAAGCACGGAAGGTTTTCATAAATTCTGTCACATAGGAAATTTTCAATAAATCAGTTGTCATGAAAAACCAAGTGTACACGATCATGAAAAAGAGTCTCCCCATGTGACCAAAGTCACCTGAAACCATGTGCTATAGCCTTTGTCTTATTTCACCATAAAAGCACAACAAGGGTAGGAAAATCAAATGGAGCAAGAGGCAAATCTACTTGCACAGTGCGCTCCGCCGAGCCCTGTGCACTTGCCTGTGGAGGTACAACCTGTCTCTCCCCTTTGCACCTTTCAGTGTCAACGAGGAAACAATGACTGGGGCTTTAGAACATTCAAGAATGAAACCTCGTGGGACGCCTGGGTGGCTCCATTGGTAAAGTGTCCGACTCTTCATTTCAGCTCGGGTCCTGACCTCAGGGTCACGGGAGGGAGCCCTGCCTGGAGCTCTGGGCTGAGCGTGGAGCCTGCTTGGGATTCCCTCTCTCGCTCTGCACACACACACCCCTCCCTAGAAAGCAAAGCAAAGCAAAGCAAACTCGTGAGCCCTGAGACCCAAGAGATTATCTGCCCTGCAGAGCACCCAGGAGCAGCCGCGCAGTCAGGAAGGGTGTCTGCCCCCCTCACCCCTCACAGCGCGGTGCTGAGTTTCCCACAGCACTGTGCTGTCCCCACCCCCCGCAGCCAGCGCCCCCCCTGCAGCCGGTGGTCCCCCACAGGCGGCACCCCCGCGGGCAGTGAGAGCACACGTGAAGGGGGGACGGACTGCCCGACAGTGACGCTCCTGACATTGTGCAGCAGGGGCACCAGCAGGTGCACGGAGAGCGGACAGTGGATGGAACAGGTGCAGCGCCCGGCCTGGCTCTGGCGAGGGACAGCGGTGGCCAGGGGCCAAGGCCAACACCTCTTTAGAAAATAAGCCTCACGCAAGACGGGAAAATTCTGTAAGGCGGTACCCATGGGCAGGAGCATGAGCCCTCCAGAGTTCCGGCCTCTGTGCTGCCGCAAAGACACCGCAGTGGGGAGCGGAGCCCGCCAAGCAGTGCTAGCCTGTGCCGGCGACCGCCGCGGTGGCCCCTGCTCAGCCTGCTGGGCCCGGAGCGTGGCGCGGAGCCCTCCCCACCCCCCTTGCAAACCCGATATACAATGAGTATTTTTAAAACATGAAATGTTGTCTCCACGGACAAGCAGCTCCCATACTTCCAGAACGAGGCTGGGAGGAGCCAGTGGCCACAGGCTGGACAGACCCCGGACTGCCCCCCACCTGCTGTGGGAGGAGCGGACTGCAGAGCACATACAGGCCGCCCCAAGGCCTGGGCTCCCAGGTGAGGGCTCTGAGTAACCCGGGCAGGCGAGCCAGGCTGCGTGGACCTGGGCCGCAGTGGCCCAGGGACAGGGCGGAGGCCGCTCTGCGAACCTGCGCACACACGCTCGTGCACACAAATATCTTCATACTCTTTTTTTTTCATACTCTTTTTTAAAAAGATTTAATTTACTGACTTGAGAGAGAGAGAGAGAGAGTGAGCGAGCCCAGGCAGGGGGAGGTGCAGAGGGACAGGGACAAGCTCCATCCCGGGCCCCCCCCGGGCCCCTGGGATCACCACCTGAGTGGAAATCAGGACTCGGAGGCTCAAGCAACAGAGCTCCCCGGGCACCCCCAATATTTCCACACTTAACGGAGCTGTCCCAGTGACCCGAGGCCTCTCCCCCCATCAACCTGGCTGATCACTGCTGAGCGCAATGGGCTACGCTCCCCTCCCCCGCCCCCGCCCACCCCGCCCAGTCTCCCCTGCAGGGACCCTCAGATGATAAAGACTTGTTTCTAGGAAGCAACCTACCCCACTTAAATGCTTGCCCCGCCCTCCCCCCACACACAGGCAGCCTCTACCCGCGCTGTTGCCCTCCACGTGCCCCCTCAACCGCTAGGGTGCCATCAGCCGAGGACGTACCTGGAAATTGGCCACGATGCCCATTCCGATACAGCCCACCAAGCCAAGCACTAGCGACACCAAGTTAAAAACAGGAGTGCTGAAATAGCTGGTTTGATTTTGCTTCTCCACTATTTTATATCTCGTGTACATCGTGGCTGCACCTGGAAGGATAAAAGGCACTTTGCTGAATTGTGACTATTTGACCTTTCAGAACGAAAACCACAGGGACAGTTTGCATTGCTTTTTTTGAGTCTCTACTTCAGTCTCCTAATTGCTGTCATTTCCCACTCACCCCCTATCCCGCCTCCGTGTGACAGACAGACACACACACACCACCAGCTTGCCTCTTGCCCTTTCATGTAAAGGCTGCTGTGCACGTATCCTGTGACTTGCTTTCTCTCTCACATAAAGTACACCACCGTGGAGCTCGCCCTGCATCACTGTCTCACTGCGTTTACAGGTCTCATCGCCCTATTGATTTAGTCTGTTGCCCCCTCATGTCGGGCTCCTACATCGCCAGTGTTTTCCCTGTTCCCGGCAATGCTCAGTGAGAAGCCTTGTACACAAGGCTTCAGCACACTTTCAGTGCTTCTGAAAGACGAGTTCTTAGGAGTAGTATTACTGGAGCTAAAAGTGTGCACTAGTAAAACACCGAGAAGTATCCACAAATCGCCCCAACATGGTTTTGTGGCACTTATACTCTCACAGTAGAGCTCGAAAGCAGGTCTGCATGTTCTTGCCTTCTTAATTATCGCCAATCTAATGAAGGAGAAATTGCAACCTGTTGATTTAATCTGCATTTCTCCAGTGATTAGTGAGAGACATCTTTCAGTATGTCTACTGGTCACCTGCATTTCTTCTTCTGAAAATCACATTCAATTTTTTTTCTGATTTTTCTCTTGACTTTGTCTGTTTGTTTTTAATTTGCTGTTGCTTTTCACACATTATGTACTTTAGTGGATTATCTGCTATAAATATTACAAATTTTCTTCTAGTCCATCTTTAACTTTGTTTTCTGTATCTTTCATCACTTTGAAGTTTTAATTTCTTTATCTTCTATATCCGTCAGTCCTTTCCTGTTTAGCTTCTGGGTTTTGCATAAGCTTAGATAAGAGTTTCCACCCTCAGGTTTTAAGAGCACTTTCCTATTCTTTATTATCTCACAGTTTTGCTTTGCATGGTTAATCCTTTCATTGCTGTTGATTTTTGTGAATGGTGTCAGGAGAGTACTTAAAGGTGGTTTTTTTTTTTTTTTTTTTTTTTTTTGAAGAGCTCATCAATTAACCAAATACCACTTACTGGTTTGGAGAGTAAAGTCACAAACTATAATCTCCGCAACCGCAGGGTCCTTGTCTTTCTGCAGCTGGGTCCCTAGCACTAAGAATAAACACAGAGCCTACCACACCCTAGGCACCTACAAGCTGAATGTTGACTACATGGATGGCTATCACAGTTTTAGATATGTATGAACTCTTACTCAGCAAATGTACCCTATAGGGAAACTTACATCAATATGCAAAGATGTATTTAAAAGAATATTCACCAAAAAATAAAGAATATTCACTTAAGCATGGAAAATTGCAAAAATCAGAAATAGCCTCCAGGCTTCACATAGGGGACTGATTAAATATATTATAATGAGATGGGTACCATGCATATGTTAAAAGAGCAGAGTAGATTTTTATGTCCTGATAGTGTGTGATGGTCATGTTTTGCTGAATTTTAAAAAGCAAGCTAAGACCTAATCATTTCTCAGAGACTATTTGAAGTGAAGATGCTGGTGACAGTCTGCCTTGCCTGGAAGCAAAAAGCCGTATTTATCGCTTCCCAGTGAGGAAGTAATCTCTGCGTTCTAAATCTGGATTCTGGACAAGGAAGGCACGCAAGGACACCCTGGGATTGAACACCTATGTCTACTTCCCCTTGCCCACCTCCAAAGCCTTGGGATGAGAAGACCACAGAGTGCGGCAGCATGAAACTTTCTCTTTACCCAGTAAGATGGACAAATTCCAAAAATGCCAAGTCTCCACTTAAGGCTTCCTGCCCCTCTGCCCCGCCCCCTCCCCTTCTGTCCTTCCCCTGTGCCTCTGCCCTACCCCCTCTCCTTCTGCCCCTCCCCTTGCACCAGTAGAGAGGCCAGAATGCGCTGATTACAGGATAGGCCCTGGCAAACAGCTGATTGTCCCAGGGACTCAGGGGCTCAGGGCCTCCAAAGGACCAGGAGAGAGGGCCCACATCTCCTGTCCCTACATCTGGGTCACCCAACAGTAGACTGTGTTTTTCAGTCATTATATTAGCTGGCTAATGAGAGGGCTGTGATCATCTATCCACTGCACTGTGTCCTATCTCCGGGTGTATTGAGGAGTTGAAAAGAAAAATCATCCCTGAGGTGGAGACAAATTGCTGCCTGCTTCACCTTTCCCGGTCAGCATAGGCCAGGCAGCCCCCCTGTCAGGGACGCCCAGGAGACAGCAAGGACCCGAGGCCCCTAGAGCACGTGGCCATCAGCTGATTGCTGGGCCCACTGCCCAGGTTCCAACTGAGCAGACCTGTGGTGCGCCCTGGGGACACGCATGTGACCTGACACCCTGGACAACGTTCACGTGCATGGCTTTCGGTACACACGCCGAGAAACATTAGCTTGTACATTAGGTGCTTTGACTTTCACCAATGCACTGGATACAAATCACAAACTTAAAAGTCAAATTACATTTAAAATTAATTTCCAAATCCTGTGACGTGTTACCAGATGAAGTGAAGAAAAGTTCTACGACAAGGCCATAAATTACTGGATTTCCAGTAATCTTAAGTTTCTCAAAGTGGAGCAAAATTATAGTTGCAAAGGTTGTATTTAAAAAAAAAAATTAGGGCAGCCCCTGTGGCTCAGCAGTTTAGTGTTGTCTTCAGTCCAGGGCGCGATCCTGGAGACCCTGGATTGAGTCCCACATCGAGCTCCATGCATGGAGCTTGCTCCTCCCTCTGGCTGTGTCTCTGCCTCTCTCTGTCTCTCTCTCTCTGTGTCTCTCATGAATAAATAAATAAAATCTTTAAAAATAAAAAATAAACTATATGCATGAGAGGCCTGGAGGGCTCAGTTGGTTGAGCATCCAACTCAATTTTGGCTCAGGTCATGATGTCCTGGGTGGTGAGTGGGAGCCCAGAGCCCTAGTCTTAAAGGTTCTCTCCCTCTGCCCCTCCTCTCACTAGTGCTCTCTCTCTCTCTCCCAAATAAATAAATCTTAAAAGAATTATACACACCAAGAGTGAACCCTAAAGCACACTATGGACATTGAGTGATAATGATGTCAGTGTAACCTTGTCAACTGTAACAAATGCACGACTCTGCTGGGAGATGGTGATAGTGGGGGAGACACTGGCTGGGGGGCAGGCATGTCTGAGAAATCTCTACCTTTTGCTCAATTTTGCCGTGAGCCTAGAAGTGTCCTGAAAAATAAAGTCTGCTAAAAACCAGCAAAAAATTATATACAAACTGTCAACAACACATTTTGCTTCACTTGAGACTATGAATTTTTCATTTATTTATAATTATTGTGTACTTACCAAGAAATGCAGAGAAGTTTATCATAAATCCAAAAATCCCACTCTCTGGAGGTGTTGTTCCCGTATCACTAATAAAAAGAAATTTCAAATTATTAAAAAGGACTTCTGTTCAGCCCTCTGTGGGAGGGATGTGACTGGCAGGTTTCATAGAATGTTTCTTCCAGGGGTTCAGCCACTTTGAATTCCAAAGACTTAGTCTGATTTTGCTAAGGTATTTCTATTTTGGCTCTGAAAAATCTAAAACTTATTATTCTACCACAAGAGATTACATTTAATTTTCTCCCATTGTAAAAGGCTAGGAAATATTTAAAGTAAATGGTAGTGGTGTTTCTAAAATGATCAAGCCTAATAAACTTGATGTATATTCATTCTCAGCAAGAAGTGAATGTGACTATCTTGGGGGGGAAACGTCTAAAATCAATTTTGAAAAATCTACCATTTGGATTTTAAATACACATAAGCACATTATTTAAATTTTTTGAATAATTTGATTTATACATAAGAGTTTATGCTGCTGAAAATAGAATGGTGGGAAGCTTAGCAATATTTTTGAGGCCTATTAGAACTTTATGGAAGCAACAGGGTATCAAGGATATATTAATCGTGATAAAGTATTTTAACAAAAAGTAGTTTCTGTAAGACATCTTTCTGGTGTAGTCAATTAAATGAGCTGGAAAGTAGTATTTAAAGTGTTGTTTTCTATTCATTCACGTGGAGGTTTACATTTTTACATCATCTCTGCTCCCAAAAGGCAACAGTTTAAAACTGATGGCCAAAGAGTTCCCTATATGAAACAATTCTTCAAACCCATCTTGAGTATTTCTCCATCTTAAAACAGCTCCGAATTCAAGTATTGAAAAACTGATCGCGTTGAAAAGGCGCACTTCAAATTATCTGAGGAATTCCACAAGAAGCCCATGTGTGTAGAAGGCAGCAGGAGTCTAAGTTTTGTGCACACTTAATATTTGAAGAGTATAAAGAAGTTAATACGACCCCTTACAATACACACTTCTATTACTATTTCAGTATCAGTGGCACCTACTCCTGCAGGAATCTGGAGGGTTGAGAATACATTGCCATGTTTCCTACAAATAACCATTGTGCTCCCACAAAGGAAATGCTGAGGGCGGAAAGGCTGCATTACATGCAGGATGTCCCTCTGGGCATGACGTAGAAAGGGTACAGGCTGGAACCAGCATCAGAAAAAGGCAGAGACAGCTTATACCCTTGGGTGGCACTTTTGCCTGAAGATTAAATCTCACATAGAAATTAAACCTTCTGTTCTTGGCCTCAGGATATAAAAAGGCAGCTTTCAACGGAGTCACGCAAGAATATGCATGATCACGGGCCTGACAGTAACCAGCCACATGCCAGGGAGATTGTTTGCTTATTTCCAGAAAAAGGAAGGAAATGAAAGCAAGAGGATATTTATGGAGATAGAAAGGTAGTTACGGGGAAGAAGGTGCCCTGGCAGATCAGTCGAGCAGACCCTGGAACTATCTGCCCATGGATAGCAAACCAAGGCACAGGTCAAGGGCCCACATGTATGGTCCCCATGACATCAGATCTGTGATCTGAAAGCTCTGAATTTCAGGGTGGTACTTTATTCTTGTTTATCTGTACATTTAAAACCATACGGGGCACCTGGGTAGCTCAGCTGGAAAAGTGTCTGCCTTTGGCTCAGGTCATGATCTTGGGTCCTGCGTTGGACCCCCACCCCCACTCCCTGCTCAACAGGGAATCTCCTAGTCTCCCTCTGTCCCTCCCCCTGCTCATGCTCTCTCTGTCTCTCTCTCTCAAATACATAAAATCTTAAAACATAATAATAAAAAATAAAATAAATACAAAACCATACAGGATATCAAAAGTAAATAGCCATTTGCATGTACTTGTGGAATAAATGAATGAATATCAGTACTAGTGATTAAAAAAAACCTATTAAATATCACTTATTGAGTATTCACTATGTACCAGGCACTGTTAGGTATTTACCATACATCATTTCATTTTACCTTCACAACCTTGTGGTGAGTCTTATTTCAGCCCCAGTTTACTGAAGGAAGAAAGTGGTGCTAGGGAGGTTCTAATTTGTTCATGGTCACAGAGTTATTAAGGAGAGGAATCTACATTCCAGTTATTAAACAGAACACACCCAAACTAGAGTTGCTTATGCCAAGCCCCAAGTCACCAAACTGAGACTGAGTTTCACTCTCCTGGAAATAGCATCTCAAACCAGTCATTCAGGAATCACCTGATCAGCATCAGATACATTGTCTGCTGATGGCACCCCTGCCTTTCCCTGTAGGGAAAGTGACCTTGCCATAATCAATTGGCTTTTTGCCTAGTATAACTTCCTTGTTCCTGCTCCCTTCTGCCTATACTAGTCTTCTATTTTGTGTAGCTCTTTAGAGCTCCTCCCTAGCTGCTAGACTGGATGCTGTATAACTCATGAATCCATGAATAAAGCCCCTAAGACCTTTTTAAAAAATATTTATTTATTTGAGAAAGAGAGAGATAGTGAGAGAGAGCATGAGTAGGAAGAAGGAGAGGGAGAAGCAGACTCCCCTGGGACCTGAGATCATGACCTGAGCCACAGGCCGATGTTTAACCGACTGAGTCACGCAGGTGCCTCAGTAAGATCCATAAAATTGTACTCAGTTAAATTTGTTGTTAATACAATCCAGATATCTGGCAAGGAACGAAGCAGTTAGAATGACTCGGGGTGATGGTAGAGAATGAACACTGATGTGCTGTTAAATGTTTAACAGCTAGCTCGGGAGGGAGCCCAATGTGTAGCATAGACCAATTTCCATGGTGTAAATGCTCCAAAATGACATCAAAAATCAAGCTACCAAAATGTAGATCACTGAACATTGAATTGGGCAGAAATGTACACATTTGGCTCTCAGGAGCTCATATCAGCTGGCTCTAGCACACTGTGGGGATGAACCATGATGGTAATAGAAAGAGATCATCATGCCTTTCTTGGATGACAATAAAGTGTAAACCAGGCAAGACCTCATAACTCCTCAAATGCTATAACTGAACTCTAAAACATTCTTGACACATATTTACTACCATAATAAATATGATTTTCATTCAGGATTACTGAGTCTACACCTACCATCAGTGCACGAGTACCAACGGGCTTACGTTCCTACACTTGGCACTACAACATAAGCAGTGACCATACTACAAAATTGGGGGAAATATTATTGCACTGCATTCATAACCAGTTGTTTGATTAAATGCAACCATCTTTAAAAATTTTTTTATTCAGCTCCACAAATACCATGAAATTTATTGACTCATCAATAAAATATTTAAGAGATAGCTACCATGTGTTAAAAACAATCTGAGTCACATGTTACCCAATCTATCCGGTAAGAATGGTCAGTTTGTGATTTATTTCCAGTAAGTGATTTATTTCCATTAATGGTACCTAACGACATATGGTGAAATATCGCTCAAGAATATTTCACGAAAATTTTCCAAGCAGCAAATGAAAATGTGACACTTCTAAGAACTTTTAAGAATAAAAGCAAAATTAAACTACTTGAGGCTACCCCAAAATAAAAAAGCATTTGCACAGCAAAGGAAACCATCAATAAATAACAAGGCAACCTACTAAATAGAAGATATTTGCCATATATACATATGGGATATATCCCATAAGGGATTAATATTCCAAAATATATAAACAGCTTATACAACTGTGCGCCAAAAAATAATAATCATCTGGTTAAAAATGGGCAGAGGACCTGAATAGACACTTTTCCAAAGACGATATACAAATGGCCAACAGATACATGAAAAGATGTTCAACGTCACTGATCATCAGGGAAATGCAAATCAAAACCATGAGATACCACCTTACACCTGTCAGAACGACTAGAATTAAAAAGACAAGAAATAACAAGTTGTTGGTGAGGATGTGGAAAAGGGGACCCTCATGTACTATAGGTGGAAATAAAATTGGTACAGCCACTGCAGAAAACAGTATGGAGGTTCCTTTAAAAATTAAAAACAGATTTGCCATATAATGCAGTAATTCCACTACTTGGTATTGACCCAAAGAAAGTGAAAACCTAATTTGAAAAAATATATGCACCCTTATATTTATTGTAGCATTATTTACAATAGCCAAAATATGGGAGCAGCCCAAGTATCTACTGATCGATGAATGGAGACACATGATCACACACACACACACACAATGGAATATTACTCAGCCATAAAAAAGAACGAGGTCTTGCTATCTTCAATAACAAAGATGGACCTAGAAGATATAATGCTAAGTGAAATAAATAAGACAGAAAAATACGAATACCATATTCATATTTCATCCATATGCAGAATCTAAGAAGTAAAGCAAATGAACAACAAATAAAGAGACAAACAAATAAAAAAGACTCTTAAATACAGAGAACAAACTAGTGGTTGCCAGAGGGGAGGTGTGTTGGGGGGGGATGAGTGAGATAGATTAAGAGTACACTTATTTTGATGAGCACTAAATAATGTACAGAATTGCTGAATCATTATATCGTACACCTGAAACTACTATGACACTGTGTTATTATACTTCAATTTTTTAAAAAAAAAGAATAGTACAGGGCCACTGGGTGGCTCAGAGAGGTTGAGCATCTGCCTTTGGCTCAGGGCATGATCCCAGGGTCCTGGGATCGAATCTCGCATCAGGCTTCTCGCAGAGAGCCTGCTTCTCCCTCTGCCTGTGTCTCTGCCTCTCTCACTCTGTGTCTTTCATGAATAAATAAATAAAATCTTTAAAAAAATAGTAGTGGTTACCCATTATCATCAATAAAAATGAAAGACTCTTTTACCTTAACATATTTTTAAGTCTCTCAGTCTCCGAACTAATGTCACATCATTAAATAAATACCACATCGCATCTGCCTGACATTAGAATCCAGATGAGCATAACACCAACAGGGTACCAAAAGAACTGGGTTTATTCTTATTTTTCTAAGCTCAAACTAAATCATCTCACTGTGCAAAGGCAGAGGCAGTAGTATTTGGTTGGCATAGCTACACTTGGGTGCTGACTCAG